ATTTGTAACATTTCTTTTATGTTCATTCAGTTTGAATTTTAAATTTCATCTAGTTTGTCCTATATAAACTTTTTTACATTCACATGATATTTTATATATATATGTAAAATTTTTACATTAAATCAATTTTATCTTTAGTTATATTAAAACTTTTGCTGACTGTTTATCAGTTAGTATATTGGAAAAATATTTATTTGTTTTTTTAATTTTTTCATTATTTGACAAGATAAACCAGGGATATATGATATCACTAAACATTCTTTCTTTTTTCAGCAAATGGTTTTAAATTAATATTTTTATCCCTGTTTTTAGTTTTATGATAGCTCTTTCAACAACATCTGGATTAAAACCCCTTTCCACTGCTATGTGCTTAATTAAAAATAACTTATTATTGATATCATCCTGTTTACAACATAATTTTAATACCCTGTCCACATAAGAGTAAAAAACATAGGTTTTTATAGATGTATAGTGACAAGATTGTTGATGTGGTGGAATGATTACAGAGAAAGGTTTACGATAAATGGCAGTTTCCAATTTATTCTTATTTTTACTCACTAAAACATCCAAAAAAAGGTAAACAACCATTGATCTTAACTTAGATAATAGAATTATCAATGTTATTAAGGTAATTAGCAAAATTAGCTAGTTCATCTTTACCATACTGCCAAATCAAAAATGTGTCATCTACATACCTTAACCAAACTTCAGGTTTTTTACTGCTTTTTCTAGTGCTTCACTTTCAAAACTGTTTATAAATAAATCACACAATAATGGAGATAAAAGAGAACCTATAGTTAAACCCTCGTTCTGTTTATAAATTTTGCTATTAATTTGGAAAAATGAGTTTTCAACATATACTTCTACCAGGTTAATTATATCCATTATATCTAAGACTGAATTATTGTTATTGCATTGTGCATAAAATAATCATTTTTCAAACAAATTTTTTTTAGTTTTCAAGATTGAACATTACACACGTGCCAAAAAAAAATAATCCAGTGATTGTTGGTTTATGAATTTTTTGTTTTTACAGTATAATTATAGGTAACTTACCAGATATTTGTCCAAACTACACATTGGTCCAAATCATTGTGTATACGTCAACATTCTCAGTACAACTCGAAATACTCATGATTTTAATATCATCAGCTAACTTTACTAATTTACTAATTATTCCCTTATAAGTATTATTAATCATATAATGTAAATGAGAAAATCAAAGGCCCAAGCATTGAAACACTTCACTATTAACAAGGGTCCAGCTTAACTAGACTCCAATAATTTTTCTTAGTCATCCTACAGTCCAGTCAACTTGTCTATCCTCCGTTCCTACTGATGTGATTTTCTTAACTAATCTTTTCTATGGTACTTGTCAAAAGATTTTTAAAAGTGTAAGTGCATCAAGTCCACACCTTTTCCATTGTCCAGGTAATAACTAACATTCTCAAGAAAGACAACAGATTAGTAAGAGTAAGACAAGATTTCATTTATTGAATCCATATGAGCTTTCTTGTATGATTTCATATTTTAAATGTGATTTTGTAAAGCCTTTTTTTTATCAGAATCTTTTGACATTTCCTACAATAGTCTTGTTATTAGTACTTTAAGTTGGACTAAGCTAATGAACTTTGAATGGTTATTTTGGTTATCTTTAGCCCCTAGTACTGATTTACATAGTTTAACATATTTTATATGGTTATTCTTCAGTTTGTTCATTTATATAATATTCAGTTCTAGTGATATTATAAATATAATTAAAATGCAAAACCAAACAAAACTGAAGTATTCAGCTTGTTAATATTTCATTCAACATTTGTAGATTTACAAATGAATGAAGCAAGCTCTGATGAAGATGAAAATAGCAAAGGAGTGTTTTCTAATCCAGCTTGTGATACTGTTGATTGGGAAATTGAAAATTTAGTAAAGGAACTTTCTGAAAGTGTACTGGTGAGTTTGTTGTTTTATAGTATTATCATAAGAATCTATTTTATGAGAAAATTCAATAAAGGTTCCAGAAAGAAGTAAATATTATAAAAAAATTGTGTAAGAGACGGATTGTCATTAAAATGAAAGTATTTCTTAATTGGATATTTTTGGTGTTTAATAGAATTCACATACAGTTTTAATTGTTGATTTGCTGTTACTTTAAAGTTATAACATGTCCATGTTTGATATACATGCTTGGATGTTTACTTGTTTTTGTTATGGCATGACACAAATTCCTGAAGTCATAATTTGTATATACCGTCACATTTCTGGTATTTTAACATTAGACTTAGAGTTTAGTAGAATGCTAAGAACCACTAGATCCAGTTCTTGAAGTTTTTGATGATTAGATAAAATTTCGTGACAGGCTAATGAACAATTCAATCTCATTGTGCTTGAATATGGTTCAACCTATTTATGTTTAGCTAAATATGGTCTGGTGTCAAATTGGTCTACAGTTCAACCTGGTTATGTTTTGTTGAATATTATATGGAGGCAAGCTACTATACAATTCAACTTAATTGTGTTGGGAGAGGCAGAGCAGGATTAAGAGTTTGTAGGGCCCTAGATCATTTTAAATGTTTTAAGGGAGACTGAGAGGCCATCAGTAGGCATAAAAAACAACCCATATTTCTGCGAGTAAAATGTTTTTATTACATTATAAAAAAATTAAAAAAGCACATTACTCCTAATTCTGGAAGGCATGCAAAAACAATGCTCTTTAGGAATTGTGTACCAACATGGCATGTACCACATTTTCCTCCTTGAATTCTATCTATCCCATGATCTGTTTATTTAATTATCTGTCTATCCAATGATATATTATTTTATTCAAATTCAGTTATGTAGAGATTGGTGAAGGCTCCATCCCAAAACCTTGGGTATGGGGCCCCTTCAAGCCCTGGGCAATAGGCCATGGCCTAATGGGCCTATGTCTCAATTGGGCCCTGGGGAGAGGACAGGGGCAATCTGGAACTGAATCAAGCAATAAGTTATAAAATACTAAAATCAACAAAGGTTCTAAGCATTTATAATATTGGATATGTTAATTAAGTTCATTATACTTTCCTTGCTTCTTACTTGCTACAAAAAAAAGTGCAACGTTCACTGTTACAAGGATGACAGCCAAGGCTTGGTTTTGAAATATATAATCACCAATTAAATGACAAACTGAATACTTGCTTTTCTAGCAGAATGCCCTCAGTTCAATTTTCACTACCTTTGATATCACCTTGAGACAATATAGAATTTTTCACTATCCTTAATATAATCTGGAGGAAATATAGTTTTTTTTCATTAGTTTGATTGGGATTCTTCTTTTATCAGAATGGGTTATCATCTTTTTCTCTGTTGATATATAGTAAGAATTCTTCATAGGTGCATCACATAAAAAAAAATCCAGTTCTTTTGCCAGGTGGGCATTTCTTTCTTAAAGAGTACAGGGAGAATGGTACAATGGAGTGTAAAATGTGAACATAAGTTTGAAAACTGGAAGCAACACTGATTGGCTGAGTGTGAGATAAAGACATGGGTTACAGTAGTTACATGGAAGTGGATCACACTCTCGTATCATGGGCAGGTCTGCTGAAAACCATCATGGGCCTCAGAGAAGAACTGGTATATGCCCTCACTTCACTCCCGAATAGTTTTGGAATGATGCTGCATATATGCATATGTGATTTAAAGTGTGATTAATGTTTGCTTGAACATTCCATACTGATTTGATACATTTTGTACACGTTTTTTTGGCTGCTCTCATTGGCCTCCCAGCGAACAATTGACACCAGGGAAAATCCATAGCCTCCCTGCCTTTTTGGTTCCATAGATATGGGGCACAAAGAATGATTTGAAAGTTGAAGGCAAGATTAGAAAAACATAGTAAATTACTTCTCAATAGAATGTATTTGTTTTATATTTATATAATCTTATCTTTATTTTTTCTCGATATAAAACAGATACAAATTCGAAATAATACAAAATTAAAAATGAACTTGAAATATTGTAAAAGGAGAGACAATATATCAAATAATAGAATAATAAAAAACAACAACAACCAAATGGTGTTAAGTGAGACATAAATACAACTGAAAAGTCAAAAGTTTAATCTTATTGTTTAACTGACAGAAGGTATTAAAGGATGAAGACCATTGCTATCAGAATCAGTACTAATAGTGGCATTCTAGTACACTTTTTACATCTCTATCTGATTTAAATTTGAACCCAGTTTCATTATCTAAGAAATCCATGTTATTGATAGAATTTTTAGGTTGGTTGAAGTGTTTAACAATGCAAAGGTATTTTTGAGTATTAATAGAAGATTTATGGTTGTTGAAATGTTCTCTTAGGGAAATTTAGACTTTTTCAACATGCTGATGATTAAAGGTTTTACACTATGAAATGGATGGTGTTTTGTATAGTACATTCAAAATTTTATTGAACTACTATTTCATAAATTTATGTCAATAAGTTTGGTATCAAACTGTAGACTATAATTCAGATTTTAGAACTGTACATTACTCAATTTGCTAATTTAAAAGTAAATATTAAAAAAACAGAGATAAACATCGATTTCTGTGTGTCACATGGTATGTTGAATGCAGCACTGGTTCAAATTAGATGTTTGTGAAGTCAAAATACTAAGTCTATAGTTTCATACGAATTAGAAACTCAAATTACAGATATTGACAAGCTAGAATATAAAGCAAGGTCTTATCTTTTCTATTTGCTAGCGCAGATAGCTCTCGTGTAGCTTTGCGAGAAATTCAAAAACAAATCTATTTGCTAAGATATTGCTCACATAATAAATCAAACATAGTGGCACCCCGTTCACCTCTTTCTATTTTTGCAAATGCTTCCTTATATACACTTACTTTTATATATGACATGAATAACCAATTGGAAGCTCAGAATGTCACCCTAGTGGTTTTCTCAGCCTTTCTAACATTCCTTCCACCATTTCTTTCTTTTAAAGCAAAATTTCAATATTTTGTTTCGTATCCTCCAAGTGCAAAATTTTTAAAGGCTTAGCAACCTACATCAAACAACAACCGAGTCAAAAGGTCATAACTAAAAGAGATAATTGTTTGCTTTACTTCTTTATTTACTGTTCTATGTTTTAGGATTTTTAGTCATTAATGATGATTTTCACTACAAATTAAAAACTGTTATTGCTGAGTTCAGATTGAGCAGCTAAGAGAATTATTTGAAAGCACTTATGCCTTATTTAGAAAGCCAGTTAAATTGTAATAGTTAGAGGATGTTGTTTCCTTTGTGTGTATGTTGTTAAATACATACTTGAAATGAATAAAAATTATCTTGTGTATTAGTAACAGCATTACAAAAAAGTTGGCTTGAGTTTCATCGGTGAGCTAACAGCATAAAAGTTAGATGTAAAGATTATAAACTTATGAGGATAGATTATGGAAAAATCAATAAGAAATTTCTCCCTCTAATAAGCAGCTCAAGAAAGAAAATAAAACAAAAAGGAATAAATAGTTGGGTGTGGGTACTTCCCTCTAGTCATTCCTTAAATCATGAGTGCTTTCTCTCCACATGAATCACCAAAGCTGAGCAAAATTAAAGTTAAGAAAACAATTTATAAGGCTGAAGTTAGGCAGAGCAAAGAAGGCCCATTATGTGGATTTATGCTTAACAACAGACAATAGCAATATTTCAATTACTTGGATAATTGGAATAATTGAAAACTCTAATTTTGATTAATTGCTTATATTTTTGACTTTCAATAAAATTGGAATTTTGACTTATGGACATTAGGAATAATCAAAAACAATAGTAACGAGAAATACTAATTTTCATTAATTGATTATTTTATTGATAGTAAATATAATTGAATTTAAATCAGTCATTTATTGGAATAATCAAATACTGTAATAACTAGAAACACTAGTATCAATCAGTTGATTAGTTTAAATGACACTAATTGATGTAATTGTATCAAATAAGTAATCAATTAAATTGTCCAGTTCTTATCTGTAGTTATGTTTTATGAATGTGTCATAAAATAAATCTGCCATAAGTAAAAGTATACCTCTCTCAACCTTTTTTTGCAGTAGAATAAAAAAACAACTTTTTTGAACACCAATAACCTGTGATTTGGGATAAATGTAGAATGATATGATTATTCTAGGGTGCAAGTCACAATATGAGGAATATTAGCAGTCTTTTGTTGAAGTTCCAAGATAATCAAGAAATTCAAGATAGTGATGTCCAGAAGGTAATTTCCTTGTAACTTTGCTGTCACTTGAAGGAAGAATCAAGATGTTGGTCATGAGTGTAAATTAGAATAAGCATAAATGAATAAAAAGTTCTCAGTGGTCAATTTTTTATTTGATTTGATGTATTTCAACTGCTTTTAAACCAAACATCTTAAGGAAAGCAGAATCAAAACAGTATGCATTTTCTATCTGCATTAATATATTAATAAAGTTATCTAGTATAATGATTTGAAGCTTTTCTCAGTTAATTAAAAATATTTTTTTAAATAAGAAGACTTACCTCTGATATATGAAAGCCTTTCCTTGTTGAGTTGCCATCATACTGTCAGTAACCACATTAGTAAAGTTCTAACTGTTCTTGTTGAGTTGCTGTAAGTAACCATATTACTAAAGTTTTAACATGTGGAGCATGATGTCAACTTATTCAGATTCTTCAATGTCCCACCTTCCATGTGACTTATGGCTCCTGCTTCAGGGTAACTTGTATAAGCTCTGCTTTCCCAGTGTAATCCACATTTGCTTGTATTATTGATTTCACTCATTACAAATTCAGGAGTCAACATTTACTACTGTTGCAAATGATTCTACCAATATCGTGATTTTTACAACTTCTGTTAAGGCCATGTTTCATGTAGTTTGCTTCTAACATGCAGGGAGTTCCTTTGGCTGTATTGTTGGTTATTATTGATCTATATATATATATATTTAAGTATTTAATTCCACATTGTTTACTGGTATCCCTGGTAGGTTTCATGATAGTGTGGACTCTCAGTTGCAGAATACCTGTTCTTTAATCATGGAGCTGACTAAAAAATAATAATAAATACAAATGTAGATCTTTTGCTCAAGTCTATTCACTTGTATTTTCTGAAAGACTGGATTTGTTAGCTGGTCTCATTTTTCTCTTTTTTTTCTTCAGGTAGTTCTTTTTTAAGTTCTTGAACTAATTTTGGTTATATCTGAAGGTGCTAATGTCAAGTTGGAAGACTTAGTTTGTGAATTTCTTAAACTTTCCACCTTCTATTAATTTTCAGGTCATTGCTGATGCTTTTTGAAATCAACAAAATGTTACTAGCATTTTAGTAAGGTTATCTTCCAAATATCAACTTATTTCACAAATTCTTGCCCCTTAGGTTGTTGTGGGGGGGTGGGGTGGGGTGTTTTGTCTTACTAGTTATTCTCATTCTCATGATTCTTTTAGTCAAGATCAAAACTTTACCTTGCAAACTGCTTTAGCTTCAGCTTCACCTGTATGGTTTGATACAAGGTAACCCCACCCCCCAGTTTTTAATTTGACCTTGAAAGATCATCCTCTCTGCATAGTTTGTCTTTGCAGGAACTTACCCACACTTATCTCCTGTTCTGAAAAGCCATGCCAACAGGAGCTAATTAGGTTTAACATTTCTACATGGTCCTCTCTTGTATATTTATCAGTTAATGTCAGCTACATCTGCTTTTTCCTTTTGACCCTGCCAAGTTGATCCACTTAATGACTCTCTTTTGAACCAGAAAAGTCTTCCATCTGAACCGTTGAGGGTCATCTCGGGTCATTGGTGCATCTGTGGGATCCTTTGTTTCAACTGGTTTTTCAGTCTATGCCTAATGCTTTTCCTGCCAATCCTGTCACAAATCCTGGATCACTAAGTCTCAAATTTCCTTCATAAAAGGGCAGTCAGAATCATTTATCATGCTAATCTAGATTTTTACTTCTATCTCTTTGTGATTCTATAGATATCAGAAGGTAGAAGGTCTGCCATAGACCTGTCTAAAATTTTCTTTTTCTGGAGATGCATCATTTCAAAATTGGAAACATAGCTTTTTTAGAAAATTGCCTTCATTCTGGCCATTGAATCACAATGACAGATATGTAAGATGCTTATCTTCATATCCTTATTCATCCATTCTCCCATATTTATGCCATTGGGTTTATTATGAGTTTACTGTTATTCCTTTTGGCTCCTTACATTTTCTGTTGAGAGTCTAGATTTTGTTGGTCTGCTTCAATCATTTGACATTGATTTCTACTTTAACGTGGATGATTAACTTATTCTGACCCTTTCATCCATTTACTCTTACAAACACTCATTTGACAACTTAGCTTCATTTCTTGAGTGGATCATCCATTTCTGTAATTCCTATTTTAGTACTATTGCAATATTTGGTACATAATGGGTTTGGATCTGCACAGTTCAAGTTCAGATATTTCTTAGTCTCATGTACATATTCATGTCTTCTACACCTACCATCAAGGATATCTTTTCTGCTTTGAGGATGATGGCTTCCTTTCACAAAGTCATTCCCTTGGAGTGTGCTTACATGCAACACCTCTAATGGGATTTGCTTCTCACTGGTGTCTGATTTGAGACCTGTTGTTATTCAGTATTCTTCTTTTTCCATCATTGTCATGTTTTTGTTTTGTTTTTTAGTTTTTGGTGAGCTGGGAGTTACTATAGATGGATCTCCTTTTTCCTCTCTCTCTCTTTCTAAAGACTTTCTTCTTCTTAACAGATGTCTCTCTCTTAGTTGAGGTACTGTGATGGGGGAATCATCATCATTTTGCTTCTTGAACTCCTCAGAAAGTAACATATTAAAATGCTGACCTGTTTAGCATGCTTGTTTTGAGTTTCTGCTCTTTATACATCATCATTCTGTGTTAGTTCATGCAGTCAATTCTCTATTGGTATCTTGCATATACAATTAAGGCAGTGCTCATTTTACCAGTCTTTCCTTTACTACAGTTTCACTACTTCTTTGGATTCGTTATCCATTTTTTACTTTTGAACTTGTTACATTCCAGTAGGATAAATATTTTGGCAGACTATCTTTCTCTGTTTTGTCATCTTCTTCCCACAGAGTGAAACCTTCACCCTATGGTTTTAAGTGCCTATTGAAAGACTCGTTATTTGATGATCACTGCCTATGCTTTGTCAGTCTATTACCTTTTTTTCCACTCTGATCTCCAGTTCCAGATCCAAAATGTCTGGCAGTGAACACAAGTCAAATTTAGGAAAGCCTCTTCTTTATACTTACATTCTGCACTTCTTCCCTCGAGTATTTGCCAAGATAAAGGTTCTCCTTGATGCTTCACTTAGAGCAGCTTAATCATGGTTTCCATTTTTATGTCAATGTTTTGATTGGGAATCAGTCCAATAAATACCACAATGGGAGCATCTTCAGCATTCTCAAATTTCCTTTGTATTATAACCATGTTCAAATCTGCAAGTTCATGGTTGGCTGTTATTTTGTTCTTTATCCAAGAAGTCGAATTCTTTTCTTGAGTGTCTTAATTCTTAACACTTTCTTGTTGACTGTCTTTTCTGACTGTCTTTCAGTATTTTTAGGCTACGTTTTGGAGTTATTGCATTAAAAAATATATTATGTTTATCTTTAACTCCTCAACAGTTTTTTTCTTTTCTTAAGTATTTGTTTCATGATTGTGAGCTTCTTCTATAGCTGGTTACAAAACTTCCACCTTTAGACACCATGGAGACAGCCATTCTCCATGTGATGTCTCAGCTCCAAACTAGGATCAGGAACAACTTCTTGCTTTATTTCTGATACAGTGCATTACCTTTTCTCACATAAATAGCTATTTTCATTCAGTGCTGCCCTCTATATATAAAAACTTTTTTTGCATGCCACAAACCTTGAGCTCCCATATAACTTACAATTGACTGATTCAAATGTGTCTTGCATATGCAAATTATCATGTGACAACCCTCTACCATTAAGAGTGCAACATACCCTCCTGATGCATGTGACTCCCTCAATTTGATTCTACCAAATTATCATTTCTCATTTGGCAGTACTCATGTCAAGATGTTTTTTTTTTTTGCTCTTTGAATTTAACCAACTTCATGATTTTTTTTAAGTTATTATTCTGAAGTGTATTTTGATTTTGTCTTCAACAGTTAATGAATTTCCAGTTAACTTATTTTCCCTGTTTTAATTTTTTTTCATCAAACACTTGTATTTTACTTTTATTCTTATACAATTAATTCCAAAGTTCAAGTTACTACTTTGGATATCATACCTTCTACAAGCACACTCACACAGGCTACAGGTGGGGGTGATTCGTCTTTGGATGTATTGACTATCATCCTCTGTTAGATTGATCGTTATATGAGTCATCCTGCTTCTCCTGATCTTGCCCCTATTCCTTCTAAACATGCCAAAACTGGTTGGGTCAACAAGGACTTTGACAGCCTTTTTCTGACACCTGATTTTTGCCCATGTCTTTCTATGGCCCTAATGTGGAATCAGGTCAGCCTAACATGGCTTTTTTAGACATGATTTCTCAGGTATGTTCTGTTTATCCATAGCCCCAATTTTATATGATCCTCATCCTTCTTTGTTACATGATACCTCCTCCTCTCAGCATCTGGTTTCCCCCTTTCCCCAGATATTAGAGTTTGTGCTGAGCATTTTTGTTTTTCAGATGGTTGAGGGTGCCAGCATGCCTCACTCCCCACAGGTTTCGGATAAGTTTTCCTTGGCTTATCATCAGGATGAATGTCTGTTTCTCAACTCTCAACAGTTAGAATCAATTTTACCCATGTGGAGAGTGGACCCCAATCAGCCTGTTCATTTATCCCTCACTTAGTTTTCCTGCCTTTATCTTACCCTATAGACTCTCCTACAGTACTTATCTACTACTTATCTCCTTTCTGAGGTGATCCGCAGAGATCCTGAAGATATTTTGAGGGATTGCCTCTCCCTAATTACCTCCATGTTAGCAAGTTTGTCTTCTTCGGTTTGAGCTTTACAACTGTGGTTACTCTGTTGTTGGGATCTCCCGGGAAGCGATGCGGCCTTGTCCCATGTTTATTTACAGCCTCCTTATTTCCAGAACTTATGTATGGCCCCTTTTCTTCAGCAGTATGTTTTTGATAATATTCCTGAGACTTTGGAATCCTGTGTGGATTCAGTACAACAGCATACTACCCTTCCTTCTTTGGTGGATTGTTTGTCACATTCTGAGCCTTGACATGCCTCTGTT